AGTACTGGCTTGCTTAATATAATCAGCCCTTAATTTTTGGAAAATCTGCCTGTTACATTTCCTGTGACAAAAGAAAAGTAGCCAGAAAGATGTTCCTGTTGAATACACTGCACTGAACAGAGCTGATCCCGGGCTATAAAAATCTTTCCTGTCTCTGTTCAGAACAGTGGCATGATGTTAGATTCCAAGTGTAATAAGGTCATCTTTCCCACCCAAAAAGGGCTGGGGAGATGTCTCCGTTGATAAAGGACTTGCGTTCCAAGAACAAGGAGTTCAAATCTCAGAACACACATAATAAAAACCAGGCATGGTGATACATTCTTTTAATGCCAGCTGAGGGGAATTGGGGATTCATGGATCTTTGAGCCAGTCAGCCTGACCTACTTGGCAATTTCTAGACCAGTGAGAGATACTGTCTCTCAAAATGGCAGATAGTTTCTTAGGAATGATAATGGAGGCTGCCTTTGGCATCTACACATGTGTACATATTACATGTGCACCTGTATACACACAAGTATGCACACACACACACACACAATGTATGAAAAAGAATAATAAAAAATCAATTGGTGATATCATCTTTCCAAGCCTTAAAAATTGTTCAATTGTGGGACGTGTGTGTGTGTGTGTGTGTGAGAGAGAGAGAGAGAGAGAGAGAGAGAGAGAGAGAGAGAGAGAACATGGGCTTATGCACATAAGTGTAACGTTCATGGCTGAAAGTGGAATTGTAGATGGTTTTGAGCCACCACTTGGGCGCTGGCTACCAAACCCCAGGTCCTGGAAGGGCAGCAGCTGGTGCTCTTAACTGCTTGCTGTGAAGTGAGTGAACCACTCTCCAAACTCTCACTTCTGAGGAGACTTTCAGTGTGAATCCCTCCATCTGCAGATCACTTATGGCCATGTTCTAAACCCAACTGAATGTTAGCAAAGGAATGAAGACTTGTTGATTCAGTTTTACAGAGGCCAAACACAGATGGGGCCTTGAATAATCCAATCATTTGAGGAAACTTTGCTATGAATCACATAAAATGTCCTCATTAACCAGGCTGCTTGGGAATACTTTAGCTTGGCAGAGAGGTCTAAATAATTCATTGGGTTCCCATATCAAAGTCTCAGGCATGCTTCCTTATAGACAGGCACGGCAGAATGTGGGTACATCAAAGTGGCGTTCTGTCCCTGGGGACCGGTGACATCGCTTTATGCAAATGTAATTCATGATAAGTTATTAGGTCTAGGTACAAAGTTCATAACCACTAATTCTAGAGTATAAAACAACCCCGTAGTTGTCTTCATCGCTGCCTCCCTCAAATCTACAGATGGCACTGGTCCTCTTGCTAGTGGATGAGAAGTTTTGTAAGGAACCCCAAAGTCTAGGAAGGTGAAGACCAACAAAGCTACTCTGCACTAGAGCAAACCCAGATGCACATGGCACAAATATGCAATGCTTGAGATTCCAGGGGAAAAGGATAGTCCCTAAAAATAAGGTCTAAGCAAAGGCCCTTCAGGAATAAACATTTTGCAAATGCTGCTTTAATCAGCTTTAAGTAGTCTTTTTTAAAAGCGGGAGTCTTCAGCTCCTTAATAAAAGTTATTATATTCATTTTGATTTGTCAAAGGAGTGGCTGTATTATATAAGGTTGCTCAAATGTATTGGAACCCAGAGTGTTTTTCTCCCAAACAAGCAATATGCCAGGGGGTGCAGTGGTGTTTTTTAAGATTATTTTTATTTTTATGTGGGTGAATGCTTGTGTGTGTGTGTGCGTGTGTGTGTGTGTGTGTGTGTGTGTGTGTGTGTACAGACAGAGTGATTGTTGAGACCAAAGAGAGAGTTGGAATTTGAGGTCGTTGTCAGCCACATACTGTATATGCATGGTATGTTAGAGCAGCAAGTGCTTTCAGTCACTGAGCCATCTATCTCTCCAGCACCGTGTGGGGAGGGCGGATGCTCTTGACTGAGCACATACCTAGCCAAAGGGTGCTAGACCGGAAATTGTGTTTGTCAGAATGTTATTTTAATGTTCTGCACTTATTTGAAAAATTGAAAGAAGTTTAATATCTGGATATTTACTGTCTGCTCCAGGGTGCAAAATAATGAGGAGGACCATCTGGGGAATTTGCTTAAAGAGTGCCAGGCACACCGTGAGTGCAAAGTTACTATCTGAGTGGATCCAGAATGGTGGAGGCATGAAACTGGCCGATTTGTGATGAAATATGAGGGATTGACATGGATACTCTGTGTGTGTGTGTGTGTGTGTGTGTGTGTGTGTGCCTGTGGGGGGTATGCATGCCTCTGTGTGTGTGTGTGTGTGCCTGTGGGGGGTATGCATGCCTCTGTGTGTGTGTGTGTGTGTGTGTGCCTGTGGGGGTATTGCATGCCTGTGTGTGTGTGTGTGTGTGCATGCCTCTGTGTGTGTGTGTGCATGCCTCTGTGTGTGTGTGTGTGTGCATGCTAGTGTGTGATGGCGAGGGTACAACCTGCAGCTTGCACTATTTAATTGTCTTCTTCCATCATTGTGGGGAACCAACCCAGGTCATCAGATTTGACAGCAATTGCCTTTACCTTCCTCCTGAGACACGTTTCCAGTCTTCCACTTTGTTTTTTATCTTTTAAGATCACTTTATATTTTGTGCGTATAAGTGTTCTCCCTGCATGTATGCGTTGTGCAGTGTGCCTGTCTGGTGCCTATGGAGGCCAGAAGGTGGCATATTACCTTGAATTGCAGTTAGGGATGGTGGGAGCTGAACCTTGGTTCTCTGCAGGAACCAGTGTTCATAGCTACTGAGATACCTCTCCAGCTCCGGCCACCCTAATTATTCAAACAGGGTCTCTCATTGAACCTGGGATGCGTTGCTCAGCTAGATTAACTGGCCAGCAAGCTCCTGGATTCCCTACGTCCCTTCTCCCCAGCATTCCCCAGAAGTGCACCACTCACTGTGTATTTGTGCTGGTGCTGGGGCATTGGGCTGGGGTCTTTATGTTTACTGGGAAAACACTGACTGACTGAGCCACCTATGGTGCCTCAGCTTAGATGCTTTCACTCACCATTGAATGATCCCTTACTGGGACCTAGGCATCAGGGAGATCAGAATTGGCATTCTGACTGTTTCTTCAGAAGATTGGTGGTTGCCTTAAGAACCCAAGTGTCTCTGGTGATACCAAGTGCAGGTGCAGATAACACTGAGCCTTTCAAACAGTTGCTTTGTCCTAATTACAAAACGTGGTTCTGTATGGCAGGAGGTAAACTCAGCTATTTGTTTCTGTGGATGCACTGAAGATAATGGTGTGGCTTGTTTGGTTTGGGGTTGCTTAATTAAGACTGATCTATTTTTAGCAAGCACACACAAGTGTGTTTAGTTTAGAATGCGGATGAGTTCATTTCAAAGTCACATTATTGCTCCAATCTTGTGTGTGAATGTCGAACAACCGTGGCTGGACTTCCTTCGCTCAGAATGAACCTCTGCACCAGTATACACAGAATACGCACTGTGGGATTTACTGTCTATATATGGCCTTATTATTTGACCTCAGCCATCTGAGAACACAGGACAAGAGACTTCACATGTTCCATGAGACCCAGCCTTGAAACCTCTGTGAGAAAGAAACCTTGCTTCATGGCAGGGCTCTAGTCCTGCAATTTGTTGATGTGGCTCAGGTTTTAGATGCCAGCAAGAGTCCATCATTTAGTTCACATAAAGTAGAGCTGTGAATTTACAGGAAGAATATACAGTACAAATGGGAATATAGGTCATATTTATATATGTGTGCATGGTGTGTGCAGGGTTGTGTGTAACTGTTTGTATATGTGTATAGGTTTGCATGTGTCTGTGTGGTGTGTGTGTGTGTGTGTGTGTGTGCATTTGTGTATAGTGGTGTGTGTGTCTGTGTGTGCCTTTGTGTATATGTGTGTAGGTGTTCATGTGTCTATGTGTTGTGTGTGTGCGTGTGTGTGTGTGTGTGTGTGTGTGTGTGTGATTCTGTATGTATGTGGGTGTGTACAGGGTGTGTGTGTATGTGTCTTTGTGTGTGTTCACATCATTTTTCTGGAAGTTTACCTTTTTACTGCAAAAAATATGTGTCTGTTATCCACAATGCATATGTTAGCAAGTATCATCATTTACCCCTGCTGCCCCAAGTTTATAATTTTTAAGTATGTGTGTGTGTGTGAGAGAGAGAGAGAGGGGGGGGGGGAAGAGCATGTGCACATGTCTGTGGGGGGCAGAAGAGGGTGTCAGTTCTCCTGAAGTTGAAGTTACAGCTAGCTGTGAGCTGTGTGACATGGGTGCTGGCTGTTGAACTCGGGTCCTCTGGAAGAGGAGAATACAATCTTAAACGCTGAAGCATCTCTCCAGTCCTCTGGCCTATTTCTTTTTAAGGCATGAGGAAGAAAATTCTCATGGTGCCTTGAGTATGGAATGGGAAAGGGGGACAAAAGAGACTTGTGTGTAACAAGACTATCTGTAACAATCCTCCTCTCCTTTGCTGTGCTTTGGGATGGAATGCACAGGCTTGTGCATTTTAGACAATCTCTCTACCACTGGGAGACATCTCCAGTCATCTATTTTCACAAAGGTGACAGAAACAACATTTACCCATTGATGTAGTGTATTTCTTACACTGTTCCTCAACAGTTTTAGTTAGAAATCACCGCTTACAAATTACTGGGATGATTCATTCATTCAACAAATGCCTGTCAGGAGCCTCTGTGTGATCTGGCCCAGCAACACAATGGAGAAAAGAACAGACGCCCTGGCACTTATGGGATCTGTGAAATAGGAGACATTCCAGCTGCTACACAGAGTGTAACAGCTTGAGGAGGTGGACTGAGAAAGCCTGTGCGGATATGGGAATGACGAGCAGGTTGGGATTAACAAGCAGTAGTCACTGTTGATAAGACCTTCCATTGTTGGCGAACATGGAGTTTAACCAGGGATGTAACGTCTGACTCTTCCTCCAGTTGCAACCCCCAAGTTCATGTGCGTTTTTCTTTGATTCTCTCTAGTATATGACCGCTGCTCCTATGCAAGGGACCTACATTCCCCAGTACACGCCTGTGCCTCCGACAGCTGTTTCTATTGAAGTAAGTCTATCCTGTAAACACAAAGAGGCTAGGGAAGAGACATCTCAGCCACATGGGTTCCCATAATCTGAGGAGTTGTCAGATAAAATCTGAATGCTGTTGTAAAACACATCCCTGCAAGCTGGGCATACAGAAGTCTACACATCAGCTCAACCAAACCAAATTTTGCTTTACACATGCAGTGTCACACAGGGGTATGCAAGAAGAGTAATTTGCATTCCTAGGCAGCAGCCCAAAGAACAAACCCTTTCCCGCCAAATGCACACCATGAGCACTCATGACCAGAGAGGAGGAACGGTTTACAACTTGGTCATGAGAATGACCCTTGGAACAGCATCATGGGATCTCTGTCTTAGTGCTTTTTCCTCTTGCTGTGATAAAAAGTATATGACAAAGCCACCTAAGAGAGAACAGACTCATTGGAGCTCACAGTCCATCATATGCTGAGGAAGTCCGAGTCAGGCCAAGCAGCTCTTCACATCACATGCACAGTCAAGAAGCAAAGACCAAAGAACACATGCTGCTGCTTAGCTCCTGTCCCTCAACATACACAGTCCAGGCTCCAGCCTGGGAACGGCACCACACACAGTTGGTGTTCTTACCTCATTAATGCAATTGAGAATCCCCACACTGGTTTTTCCGGGCTGATCTCCCAAGTCTTTGGTCAAGCTCAGCACTAAAATTAACCATCCCAATATCACCTAGGAGTTTATTAGAAAAGGAAGGCATCAGATACCACCACTCTGTTTCCTGAATTTACACGGTGTTAATTTTAAGATTTGAGAATCCAGATGTTCACAGAAATGAGACAGTACCTTGATTCTCAGATGCTTCTGCTCACTAAAATTGTTAGGGGATGAATGCTTTAAAAATATGAACTCCTAAACTTGGTCACAGAGATCAAGAGATTCTTTACTGATTTTTCTGGAATATATACTTGGTTAAGCATTTTTATACATTCCCAGATGATGCCAGTAGGTATTAAGGATTAAGAACCAGCCAGGTGATGGTGGTATACATCTTTAATCTCAGAACTCACGAAGCAGAGGCAGGTAGATTTCTGTGATTTCAAGGCCAGCCTGGTCTACAGAGTGAGTTCCAGGACAGCTAGGACTACAGAGAAATGGAACCCTGTCTTAGAAAAAAAATAAAGATTTAAGAATCATTGCTTCATTTGGGAGTGTAATTCAGTCATACCGCTCTTACCTAGTATGTATAAGGCTATGGTTCCATCCCTATCACCCTAGAAAAGAAATGAACAAAAGCCCACTATTCTAATGAGTGAACTCAATATCCTCTAGCTTCCTATATACAAGAAAGATGTAAATGGAATTATTTTGGGTATCATGAATGATATTGCCATGTTGTCCTAAATGGAAACAAAGCTCCTTCTCTCTTCTCATTGGGACAAATCCATCCTCATTAGCTCTCACTTTACTGAATGGAGCTGTCAAGCTTCAGAGAAGAGCCACATAGATGGTGCTAGGTACTTAGACTGTATCCATCTCTGGAGTTACAGCCATGGTCCCTCTTCTCTGAATGCCCCAAGTGCTTTACTGCCATGTGCGGACATTGCTTCTCATCAGCTGGGAGCTGAAAAACTAAACAATATACTTCCTTGAATTCATCTTTCCTTCTCCATAACACAATCAGTAACTCGAGTGTTTGTATTTCTCCAAGTGAAAACCCACCAATAGTGAGGTCGAAGGAGGTTTTTGCCAACTAACTTGGATCTCAGAAAATGTATACAGATTTACTTCTGGTGTGTAACAAATACATGTATGCTTGGATCCAGGTAAGGGAAGCCCCAGAGACTAACAAGGCACTGTTGTACAGCCTAGGAAACTGATACCATCACACCCTTATTGTTTGTAATTTTGTAGATGTGTGGGTCCAAAATAATGATATATTAAATGGGTTTTAATTGGAATTCAAGAACATGAGATTAGATTATGAGATTTTTGCTATATTTAGTGACTAAAAAGCAGCTATGTCTCAAGAAAATTAACAATCAACACATTGCAAGCACTGCAAGCATAAACCTCTATCCCATATTTGCATTTCTATATGTCTACTCAAAGAATTATGCTACTGAAAGGGCAAGCGCCTTTAATCAGTATGGGGTAACAGACACATGTAACAAAGTAGCTTATTGGAAAGGAACTCCTTAAGTTCCATCTGGAGTTGGAGAGAAAAAACAGACGATAACTGTCTCTTCTGCTGTCCCACCTGAACACATGCTTGCAAAGAAAAGAATTTAGTCATGTCCATGTAAAAACACTAGAAGGATATTTGTTGGTATGCATCAATCAGTCAGTTGACCAAACACAAATCAATCCTCTTTGTAGGGTCTAAAAATTTAAAGACTATCAGGTGTTAGGGAGAAACAGAACCAGAGTGCTTGACATACAACCCGCACCAGATGTCCAAGATTAGCCCTGGTCAAGCTGCTGCTGCTGCCCCTGCTGTGTTTCCTTTATCTCCTCCCCCCCCCCAACCTTCTCCTCATCCCTTTTTCCTCTGACTGAATGCCTGTTAATGTCTTATAAAACAAAGCAAAATAAAACAATTTGTAAAAAGAAAGAAAGCAAAACTACACAAGGGACTGGGTGAGGTGGTGATCCCAGCACTCCAGAAGCAAGCAGATCTCTGTGAGTTCCAAGCCAGCCTGGTCTAGGTAGTGTTTCAGGCCAGCCAAGAATAGACAGGGGGACAATGTCTAAAATTAAACACAAACAACAACAACAATAAATCTTATGCAAGAAACTAGAGAGATGCTTCTTTCTACTCTTTCAGGGAATAGCAAGTTGGTTCTCAGCCCCTAAGTCTGGAGGCTCACAGGCTCATGAACATCTCCCACTAAAAAAACCCAAGGAACTTCTGGCCTCCATTCTCTCTCTCCCTCTCTCTCTCTCTCTCTCATACACACACACACACACACACACACACACACACACACACACACACACACACCAGTATATGTTCACATAGATATATGCACATATATACATAAAGAAAGATACAATAAATCTTCATAAGCATGCTTTTATTATTGTAAGCAACCTTTGACTATGATTACAGATGGCTTTTACTGAGACCATAGTCCTCTATCCAACCACAATTGAAATGGTTTTGTGACCATTATATCCTTCCAAGGACTTCTGATGCCAATGGCAGAGCTTATTAGTATTGCATCATCAACATCACAGGATGAACCCTTATACAAGCTTACCCTGCTATTTTCTTTTACTCCCATGCTGTGGTTTTCTGTGGTTGAGAGTTCCCTATTTTCAAGCCCAATAGAAGAAGGGGTTTTGTGTTGCATCTAGAGAGGGCCCTTTACTAAAACAAATAAGCCCTGTGTGTACTGATTTGCTTCTTCAGGGTGTTGTTGCTGATACCTCTCCCCAGACGGTGGCCCCTTCATCCCAGGACAGCAGTGGTCAGCAGCAACAGTTAACAGTGGACACACCCAATGAACACGCACCTGCATACTCTTTCCAACAATCCAAGTAAGTCCCTGCTGTGCCTAGCTTCTTCCTCTAGAATCAGAGTCCTTTCTCAAAATGCTTCTGTTTGTCTGGTTTCACAGAAACTATCATAAACTTAGTGGCAGGCATTTCTCGAGTTCATGATCATGTGGGCTGCTCCCAGCTGGCTTCAGGTGGTATATTTTCTGGTCATGGTTGTACTTGGCCCTGTTGTGTGAGTACCTGGTCATCCATGGCCTTCTGCTTGGGATGATGGAAGGGTTGACTGTATGCTTTCCATTTTATAACAAATTAATTTCTATACAACTCAGAATTCCAAGGACAGAAGGGAGCAAATCCAACAAAAGTAGGCACTTAGTTTTGTTTCTGTGCATCGGCTGCTCTCCTATTGGTTTGGGTAATGCTAGTCACATGACCCAACAGAGTCAGTGAGGGTGCTCACTTCAAGAGAAACATTCCAGTCATTAAAAAAAAAATTGTTACATATACTTGGGAAAATGCTAGTATCCCCACCTGACACTAGATAGTGACCCAACATTCTGTTCTTTATCTCTTACGCAGTTACACTGACATTCTCAATGCAGGTTGACTTTGAACACCAAAGTAAATGGTCCTGGGAAAAGAAGAATATTGTTAAATACAAAGATTAGACCCTGCTCAGGAATTAAACGGCAAAGAAGAATAATTAAGTATGCAGAATTACTCATAAAATATTTTAATCACCCATAAAGAAAGTTACATTGGGCTTTGCATGGAGTGAATGTATAAATTAAACCCTGAGAGCTCTGCTTTGAGACTGGAGGGACCATCAGTGGGAAAGCATACATGGGGAGGCCTCTGTGGGTAAACTAGTCCATCTTCTGGATCATGACTGAATCTCTGAGAGTGGAGAACATTCATTCAGATGAATCTGTCTATAGAGCTTTGCTCTCAGCCATCCTTTAGTTTGTTAAAGAAATCATTTTGTCACTCCTAAAATCATGAAGAAGCTGACCATATCAACCATGCCTGTATTCAACTGGTGAACAGATAAAGAAAATATGGTCCATAGCCACATGATAGAAGTCAACTCAGCTGTAAGTAATGTCATTTTCCAGAGACATGAGTTGCACTGGAGATCATATTAAGAGAAATAAACCAGATTAAGACAGACAATTACAACATATTTGCTCTCACATGCAGAGTCTGGATTTAAATATATGCATCTATCTATACACATATATGTATACGTGCATGTATACTTGCAAGATAAGATATGTAGATTTATGTTATTCTGTTCCAGTGTAATGGGAAAATATCTCTAAAATAATTTAGCTAGTTCTTGCTAGCTTAGCTTCTTAGATACCCTAGATTTCAGGGACTGGGAAGCTTTCTTCCCAGCATGATTGTGCTAATTAACAAGCCACTGCTTCCTGCTGAAAAGCCATTTGTTCAGGGTCATCATGCTAGAGAGAGAGAGAGACAGAGAGAGAGAGGAGAGAGAGAGAGGAGAGAGAGGAGATCTTTAAGTACTTGCTGGCATTTCTCATCAGATACAAGCTGACCACCTGTGAGGTGTAAAGTTTTGCTCAGGGGCACTGAGCCCTGAAAAGCAGGTTGATATGTCAGACTCCCAAAATGTCTACACTCAAGAGATTGTAAACCATAGCCATTATAGACAAAGGTCACCAGGAACCTTGAGAAGCATGATGATGGGCTTACAAATTAAAGGCCTGACACAAACTATTTTCATAGTTCCATGTTTTCCTTTTTAGACTGAAACAAAGAACTGGGTGCAGGAGAGGCGGCTCAGCACTTGCTGCTCTGCTGGAGACCAGTATTTTGTTCCAAGGGTCCATGGGGTGGTTCACAACCACCTCCAACTCCAGATCCTGGAGATCCAAGGTCCTCTTTGAATTCTGTGGACACCCAGGGAGACATATGAATGCATACACAGAGACACATGAATAAATACACAGAACTTCATGTGATAGACTTAATGAGGGACCCCCCCCCATTATTGATGCAGAGAGACTTTATGCTCTTATGCTAAGAGATCATAACAGTAGTTTATTCTGGAAATTCTACGAGAATAACAATCCCCAATAAATCGTCACTTATTTTTTATGCTATCTATAAAACCTTAAAAATAACTGGAGTCCAGGGGCTTGGGAAGTGGCTCAGTTGGTAAGGGCACTTGCTCTCAAAGCATGAGTTCCTGAGTTCCAATCCCCAGCACCCACACAAGAAGCTGAGTATGGACACACATGCCTATAGCCCCAGTACAGGATGGGCAGAGATAGAGAGACCCTAGACTGTGTTAGCTAGCATGATGAGCAGAAGGTGGACTTTAGGCTCGGTGCCTTAGGGCAATAAAGCAGAGACCAATAGAGGAAGACATTTGGCTTTCGTCTTTGACCTCCCCAGGACACACTGTATGTGCACCCATACACATGTGTGTGTGCACCACATGCACACACAACCAATATACATGCAAACTAGTTAGAATGTATTTTACATTTTTAATTAAAATGTAATCACATCATTTTCCTCTTTCCTCCCTCCATCCCTTCGCATCCTCCCCCCCCCCCATCTCAAATTGACAGCCTCTTCTCTAATTATTGTTGGTTATCCAGTACAAAGTGGTCAGCTCTGAAACTATATAAAATGAACTCAGCATGTGTTTATGTTTGCCCACGTGCATATGTATAAAACAATAATGAAATAAAAATAAACGTTTAAATCAACCAGATCCTATAAAGCAAGTTGTATTTTCAGATGCAGAGCAGAAGCGTTTGCTTCAAATCCCACTTGTGACTTTGCAAGTCCTAAGGACCAGGCCCGGCCTACCCATTTAACGCTATTACATGATCACCGTTCTCCAAAGTGTGAAAATCAGATCGCTGATGAAAGAGATTTGCCACCATCCACCAGAGTAGGGCAGATGAGAGAAATACGAACTCTGCAATCCCTCTGTCTACTCTCCTGTGAGGGTCCTGTTGGCAGATGATGTCGTGGTACTTCTCACATGATGAGATGTAGAGAGTGATGGGTTCCTCTTTTTCTAACCAAATGATCTATCAGCCCATGGGCCAGGCTGGTGGTGAATGCCTGTCTTCTAAGAATTGGGAGCTTGAGTTTGACTTTATCTACTTGAGGCCAACATGGGTGGCATGAAGCCAGAATCAGGAGCTGGGGAAATGGTTTAACAGCTAAGGACCCTTGCTGCCTTTGGTGACATTCCCAGCATCTACATTTTAATTCCACTCCCAGAGGATCTGATGGCTTCTTCTGGTCCCCTCGGGTTCTGAATGCATGTGGTGCATTTTCATACATACAAACAAAAAAGTTGTACACACAAACTAAATAAGTATATTTTCAAAAATACCTAACTCAAAACTCAGAATGCCATGTCAACTGCATCAATGCCTTCTAAACAGGACCACAGCAATCCGCCATGAGGTTTTACCTCTTAGGGGTCCTGTCATCATCTCCCTCTGCCCTTACTGGAGACCAGGCTACCCACCATGAAGTCTTAGTAGACAAAGCAAGCCACTGCTGGAGTGATGACTCACTGGGTGTACTGGTGGTAGACTTTGTATGATTTATCACTTGACAATCAGAAGATGTTCTTAGTCCATCAGCCTTGATTTTTGACACAAGTGACCTCTTGCCTGAGTATGTATGTATGTGAAAGTAACAGAATTCCATAGCTCCAAATGTCTCTTCCATTACTTCTTTAAGAATGGCATATTGAAAAATACTGGGCTCTTCTAAGGAACTGTCATGGGAACCCACAGAAGATACACTTGGATGTAATGACCACTCTTATGCATTTGTCTTTGCAGACCATAGACAGAAGCGAAGCTGTCCATCTGAACCCTTACCTTCAATGAAGAAACTTCACTGGGCAAGAAGTTGGTTGGCCTCCAGTTTGCACAGGCGCCAAGGGAAAACTTTCTTCTTCTTTTATTTTTTTATTTTATACTTTACTCAAAGAAAACAAAGTTTTTATGTGCTGTGCAAATGGTTTCTTCGAGTGGTCTGACACTTATTTTTGTCATTTTTTTTTTAAGGGAAAACAAATCCCAGAAAAGGGGGGTGGGGATAAACATCAAAGTTGATGTTTTCTGTGGAAGAACATTTGAATTCAGAATTTGCCAGAAGGTGAAGGTGTAAGTAGATTTTTTTTTTTTTTTTTTTTTGAAAAACCCTGGTGTCAAGAGTTGGGCAACCAGAAGTATAAGAAATTATTTTCCTCAGTAATTAAGCTATTTTTTCGTCTCTTCCTTTCTTGATTGAACCTACTGGGTTGGTTGGGTTTATTTTTTATATTTTATGTTTTCTTAGAAATATTTAGGTAAGGTTTATCTTGAATCTTAATTGCCTTAATTTTAAGGACGTCAAAGGCTCGAGAGGCATGCTGTCAGCGTCTTGTTTAAAAAAAAAAAATCAAGAAAGATTTGAAGTATTGTGCCAGCTTTCACTGGCATAGAAGACAGAGACTGAGATTTTAGGATGGGAAAAAAACTGTACAGTTTAAAAGAAAATGTTTTTTCTTCGTTTGAAGAAAATGTGTTGTTTGAAAAAACAACAGCAACGGCAAGCATTGGGAAATGCTGGGGCTTCTCACGAACTTTGACACAATCATCCTAAAAGCCTAAAAGACATTTTACGGGAAAGATATTCAAGTTGGTTTAAAAACAACTGCATTAGAAATAATGCGTGTTTGGGGGGCAGAATGCAAATTTTTTTTTTTTTTTAATTTACAGAGCGTGGTTGCTAGCGGAAGCGTTAGTGCTTTTTATCTGCAGTTTTTCTATGAGCTTCGTCAGGTTTTAGTCAGCTTTGCTTGTCATATTGCAAAACCTAGCATAAGAGCACTAAAAACAAAACTTAAGTAGATAGACGCTTATGGTCAAAAAGTGCAAAAAAAAATAATAAAAATAAAAATAAAAATGAAAATAAAAACAAAAACACACAGACAAAAAAAACAAAACAAAACAAAAACAAAAAAAAGCAATAGATAGAGAAATTGTTGACAATTTCTGTAGTCTTTCTTAGTTGTGGTCAATTGCAGCCTACGGATGGCCTATTTTATACCAAAGATGAAGTGAGACCCTGTTACAGTCGTGATGGTAGACACTGCTTTTCTTTCCTTAAAGTTTTGTTTGACCTACATGGCCGGACCAGTTCTAACTTCATTTCAACTACCTTCCACTAGTGTTTTACATACTGCAAAAAGGAAAAAAAAAAAAAGGTGTTTTTTCTAGAAATGTCTATTTGTTGATAGTTGAAGTTTGTACCTACTGTGCTCAGCTGTTCAAGCATGAAGAATCTGAGAAAGGATCGATTGATGGAAGCAGGTGGGTTTCAGTCCACTCCCGTGAGCTTTTCCAGCTCCCGGATGGCTCTTCTCGGCAATAGATGGATGGACACTGGTACACCGGTCCTTTGTTCAAGAGGTTACAATGTCTTCGTATGAATTGCAGACTAAGGATGCTTCCTGAATACGCTCCGAAAGATGTCTGAAAGGCCACTTGTCAGAAAGGCTCAGTGATGCTTTGCGCAGTGGGGCTCAGTCCCTTGAGAAGGACTTGTGCATTGGTAACAACCGTCTTCCCTCCAAACGCCAACATAAACAGATTTTTGTCTTCTCTCCTTCATTTCGTTACTGGCTCATCTTGAGCAGACACCTTGATTCTGTGCTTGGGGAGGGGGTGTTTTCCTTTTAACTCTCCCCATTGTGTTCCCAGATCCTGATATTGACAGGACAGCCAACACAGACCTTTTTAAATTTCGGTTTAATTCTCCAAAGTAAGTGGAGCCATTAAGATCGAAGTTTCCTGTTAGTGCAGTAGAGGCGAGCTCTTAACATGCTAGTTGACAATCAAAAAAAAAAAAAAAAAAAAAGTATGATTTTTATCAATAAGAACTGAAAGAATTCGGGTTGATCCAGCACTAAAACCAAAGGAGACACTTGCACTTGGAGTAATGCAAAATGTGGCTTAAAATAATCTAAATTGACTTAGTGAGAACCTAATAGTTCTGATTCATTGTACCTGGGATCCACTTACATAGTTTTGCTTGAAGCTAGAAACAGTGTCGTGGAACTCTTGTTTCTGGAACTATTCCGAAGAATTGCTTTTGAATGAATCATTTGAATCGAGCAGGAGGAGCTGCTTCTTCAGGGTCATCTCTTTGAGTGCTTAGGAAAGACACAGACAAAGGCACCAGAGAGGTAAAGACAGTAGGCTCTCAAAAGCAAAGCAAGTCAGAAGGCAAATCACAGTCCCACAACAAAGGAGTCTGACCCAACCCAAAGGGCCGGCCACTGTCACTAGACCCTGCCTCTCTTCTTTGTAGCCCTGTGACTTGAGTGCTCAAGTCTGGAGAGTGACTTTGTATGTGGGCCACCAAACTAATTACAGAGCAGTGTCCCTGGAGATGGATACACAACTGCAGAGAAGTTCTGTGCTTCACCTTCATCCTATTAGTTTCCTGTGCTTTGGAGGGAACCTGAGATGTCTACATCCTTCCGCGGCATCTGTTGGGAGGACGGACTTGAATTTTGTCTTCTGGCAAACAAACCCTCAAGTTCCAGGGGCTTTCAGAAAACTCACACTTTCTCTTTCTCCGTTCACCCTCTCTTGAGTCTTTGTTTAGGTAAGGGATATCCTGGGCATCGTTCCTTTGCATATGAAACCAACATACTTTCTTGTCCTTTCTGTAAAAGTACCAAATACATGTCTTCATGTGATACAAAAGAGAGTCTCATTTGCATTAACTAACAATGAGGCTGCGAGGTAGCTACCATGTGGCTGTTGAAGGTGCCTAGGTTAACTTCACACTCTTACATATACATTCTAAAATATTTCTTTCAACTCTGAAATTTTCATACTCTCTTTTCTTTTAAAGCCACCTCAGGCCAAAGGAAACCATGATGCCATTTGATATGTCCGTGTGTGTTTTGTGTTTGGGCTGTCTCTGTAGTGCCATTCCATAACATCGTTTAGGAAGGAAAATGTGTGCGTACTCAAACTGGCTTCCTCTCTTTCTGTTACCTTTACCTAAGAATTGTTTTCGATAGCCGAGTGTAGGAGGGAAAGAAGAGGCGTGGCCACATGGCGGTGCAGCGTTGTAATCAAAACGGGACCCCACAACACACACGTACAGTGTGGGCAGAGCAGATGCCACAAGCTCAACCTCGTCAACAGTGCGCGCGGCAGTCCTCACAGGATTTATGACTATGCTCATTTTTTTAAACTGAAGTAAAATTCGAATTCTTCAGATTGTCAAGATGTTTTGATCTTTGCTTTTTCCCCCTTCGTTACCACATCTTGGATGACAAGTTAGGAAAGCAACTAAAGCCACCATCCAAACACAATAAACATCGAGATTCGACTTAGGTGTCAGGAAAGTGAGTGTCTTTGAATAATGACAAGATGTGGGGGAGCAGACGGATGTGGGGGCTGGTAGGTGTGTCTCTAAGGACCCCAGGATGGAACCCTCATGAGCTAATGGTAACATCAGCACATGCTTAGTTTTTGTTCTTGCAAAAAAAAATTACTTGTTTAAAATGATTGAAATATCTATGAAAAACTGACATATTTTATATTGACTTAAAAATCCCTTTATTGAAGAGTGGAATTTAATTTCAACAGATTCCTTGTGTCTTCTTCATGACTGAGATGTTTCAGTGGGATTTCAGTCTATTTCTACATAGACTATGATGTCAGTAGGCTAAACACACTTTTTCACTCCAGTCTCTTTCCCGAGAGTGTGCCAGCTTCTGCAGACAAGCTGAAAATGAAGAGTAAGTCTTAAGTGGGTTTCAGTGGAAAATTCATGGTTTCAAACCACCGAGACACCAGAATTGCGAGTCGTTTGTGATGGCATTTGGCATGGGAAGCAATCACATGTTAGAATATTGCATAGTCATGTCACAGAACTGTGGTCTACTTATGGAGAAAAGGATAAAGGTCTCTGTTTTCTTGCCGTTGGGACTTGTATGCTAAACTTTTTTTTTTTTTTAGCCCGCTGGCCTTGACAGTTTCTCTTGAACCCCAGAGATGGCAAGATTGGCAGGTCTCTTGATGCCATTTCCTCTTGGGAAGGAACTTTGGGGTTTCATGAATCAGATCATTTTACAGTTGTAGTATTGCAATGCAGGTTGAGTCTAACCTGAGAATAATGTTTCTTACCCATTCAAAAACTGGACCCTTCAACCAAATGTTGTCTGCCCTAGCTGAACCTGGAGTTCAGGAAAGTGTACAAGCTAAATGATAAGCCCCAGGTGGCCCCATGATTTGAGAAGGCCGGGTCCATCTCTGGTTACTGATACCTGTCTTCAGGCTGATATCCCAACTTGTAACACGCAGATATAGTTGCTATCACAGAAAGGGTAGAATGTCTTCTAGGAAGCAACAGCTATGCTGTTCTGGGGAGGAGAATAATGTGCAGAGGAATCGGTTTTACTGGTGAAGACTCTGAGCTGAGCAGAGGCAAGAAGGAGCTTGGGGATTTGGAGGCAAATTGTGAGGTCACTGAATCTCTTGGGAGATTTTCTTAACGCTGCTCCATTGTCTGAGTTTCAAAGAAACAGTCACTGTCAGTATTCAGAGGGCTAACTGACTAATCTGGGAGTGAGTGAATTATCTTTTCTTGTTGACTGACCCTGTGAACCTGAGCATTTCACCCCAAGGGTGGACAGAAGAAACCGCTGAAAATAACAACCCGCTCCAGTCTATGTTGCTTCCCAAGTATTGATTTATCAAGGGAGTTTTAATCATTGGTGAAATCAATGTCCACACATTACACACTATGAATTCCAACAGTCCATAATGTTCTTTTCCTGTCCACCACACATAATCAGGAGTTGGCTGCATTCTTGCAAAACACAAATGGAAAAATTACAACAACGAGCTTGGCTCCCCTAAAAGAAAGCTACTTTGGTTTCATTCTCTTTACTGAGAGTCAACACGAGAAAAATGGTCAACGAAGTTTCTATCAGGAGAAAGTAACAAAGGTTTGTTTTTTGGCTGACCACAAAATCATTTTCCTTTTGTTGCTGTTGCTGTTTGAATCAGTGTCACTGTATTAAGACTGAGAGTCGCTCATATTCTGAGGCAAAATTTTATGGCCACTGTGTATGTAAGCACAAA